AGACTTTCTGAGACTGTATTCCAACTGTCCTGTGGTTTTATGACCATGTAAATTTGTGTGTCATCAGCATAGCAATGATAGCGAAGGCTATGGCGACGACAAATCTCTCCAATCGGTTTGGAGTACATACAATATTTTCGTGGTCCTAACACCGACCCTTGAGGAACCCCGAAATCTAGTACTTTGTCATGTGAGGTGGCAGATCCGATGGCAACACACTGTCGTCGTTCACTCAGGTATGACTGTATCCAGCATAGTGCGGTATCAGTCACTCCATAAGAGTATTCCAGACGTTTATAAAGTATGCCATGGTCGATGACGTCAAATGCAGCTGACAAGTCCAGCATGACAAGCACCACTCTGCACTTGTTATCCAATGCAGAAGCTATATCTCTATGTACACGTAAGAGGGCCGTCTCAGTAGAGTGTCCCATGCGGTAGGCTGATTGCATGTTGTCATGGAGACTGTTTGCATGGAGATGAACCTCTAAACGCTGGGACACAACCTTCTCCAAGATCTTAGACAGAAAAGGCAGATTTGAAACTGGGCGGTAGTTTTTCAACTCCTCCTTGTAATACACCTCTGTACCCAACTTCAATTTGATATTCGATAAAATGACTGAGTTATGATGAATTGAATTTTTACGATCACAGCGTTGCACATTTGTGTATTTGCATGTAAATTTCAGCTTGATATTTGAAAAAAAAAGTTAGACATCAGAATTGATCAATTTTATGTGCACAGTTATTTAATAAATACAATCAGTTCAAAAATGCAGAAAATTGGGAAGCTTATAGGTGTCAGAGAAACCTTGCTGTTAAGATTAAGAGAAAGTCAGTCCGTAATTACTTTTTTGAACGTTGTAGCACAGGCCCTAGCTGTAAAGACTTTTGGCCCACAGAAAAGCCTTTTTTATCAAATAAATGTATTATGATCAAAGCATTGTACTAGAGGAAAATATTGTAATCTCTGATCAGAAGAAAGTATGTGATATTTTTAATGAATATTTTACTGATATGACAAATGATATTGGGAAAGAGCTTGATGGTGAATGTAATTTTTCTGATCACCCAAGCATTGTACATATTAAAAACAACATGAAACCTGAGGCAGACGAGGGGTCCTTTAACTTAAGCAATATCAGTACTGCACAGGTAATGAAACTTATATCAAATTTAGACTGCAAGAAATCTACTGGTGTGGATGGAAATTCTNTATTTCAAAACAGCAGTTCCCAGATACCTTAAAACAGGCACAAGTAATACCTATTTTTAAAAAGAATGACCCCATGAATAAAGAAAATTACAGGCCTGTTAGCATTTTACCCACTCTTTCAAAAGTATTTGAGAGAATTGTACATACACAACTTAGTGGGTTTTTTAGTAGATTTTTTAATCCTTACTAAGCAGCTTTCAGAAAGGGTTTCGGGTGCCAGTCTACCCTGCTTCGTCTACTTGAGGATTGGTGTCGGGCCTTGGATGATCGTCAGTATATTGGTGCAATTCTGATGGATCTGTCCAAGGCCTTGTACTGTATTCCACACAATCTGCTACTGGAGAAGCTGCGAGCCTATAGGCTGGATGAGACTGCAGTCAGTTTCATCAGCAGCTACCTCAGTGGCAGACAGCGGTGGATTAGACTTGGCCCCGATTGCGGCGACTGGAACCTGCTGAGGAAGGGAGTCCCCCAGGGGTCTATTGTCGGCCCACTGATTATTAACATTTTTCTTAATGACATTTTTACGTTTCTAAAAGACTTGCGATTTGTACAATTATGCTGATGACAATACCCTTTCATATATTATATTCTTCAAACCTTAAACTTACTCTAGAAAAAGAAAGTAATTTTTTACTAAACTGGTTTTCAGCAAATGGTATGAAAGCAAATCCTAGCAAATTTCAGGCCATATGTATAGGGGAAATACCTGTGACAACATTAAATCCTTTTCTATTGGAGACCAGGTAATTGATTGTAAAAATAGTGTTACTCTGCTAGGTGTGGAGATTGACTCTTTATTGAAATTTGATGACTATGTATCTAAGATCTGTAGAAAGGCTTCCACAAAATTAGCTGTTTTAAAAAGAATTGGAAACAATCTTACCAAAAAGGGAAAGATCACAATTTTTAAATCTTTTATTTCATCTAATTTCAATTACTGCCCCCTAGCCTGGCATTTTACCTCACCTGTGATAGATATTTTACGCAGAAACAACCTCTCATCTGTACACGTTGTTAGAATGAAGACTATGGCTACAGAAGTCTTTAAAATCTTAAATGGGTTAGCTCCTGAATTTTTAAATGATTTGATTGTTAAAAATAATGTTGAATATAATTTCAGGCAAGAGAACACCATTCAAGTACCTAGGGTTAACACAACAAAGTATGGAAAAAAGTCTTTTCGCTTTGAGGCTGCCCAAGTGTGGAACAGTTTGCCGAATGAACTGAGGAAAGTAGAAATTTCCAGAGCTTTCGCAGACTGCTGCACAAGTGGGACAGCCAGTTGTGTTCCGGTGCCATATGTAACTAGTCTTTTTTGTTTTCCAACCTTTTTTATCATTTCTATACTTAGTTTTTACCATGTCTTGTGATACCATGCTTCTACGTTTTACTTCCTTTCATTTGTTTTATTAGAGCTCTTATTTACGCATTGTATGACTTACTCAATGCTTGTCAAATCATCTTTTAATTTATGCTATATTAGCATATATTCGGTCATTTTTTAACTCGTGCCATATTGGCATTTATGTATATACTGAACCATAGTTTCTTAGTCTGTGAGCATGTGGTATGAATCTTTTGTGCAGCATCAATTTTAATATAGATTTTTTTATATATACTTTGTTCTGTACGTGCCAAGTTGTTTTTAATTACTGCGTGCTGTGATTTAATAATTTTTTCTTGTCTGTGTATTGTATAAACCTTGCTATATGCCTGTTTGTTTTCTGCATATTGTCTTATATGTCCTGTTTTTATACCTTTGTTTGTCGTAATAATAGCTCTACAGAGCTAATGTTTCCATTACAACATATACGACTCTAAATAAAAATTCTTGTAATGTATCTTGTAATTAATGTACTTCATTGTGTTATTTATTGGATTTAGTTGAAAGAAAAACGCCCTTTTTTGCTCCAAGTGTTTAAAAGAACTTTTTTTTATTTCACTTTATCCCCTATTTCAGTAATAAAATTGTTACTGAAATGGGTAACTGTTACCCAAATGCAGGGTTATTACCCATTATTACACGCCGTTGTGCCCAACCTGCATAAAGAAACAGCTAATAGCTTCGTTTCCTTTATTACTTACCATGTATATTTCGATGACACGCCTTCAATATGACCTATTCATAAGAAAACTCACTACCCAACTTTCATTCTTGTGATAGCAGAAGCGAACGTGGAGTAGAATTCGCAAATCGAGCATGCGCTCTGGTCTACTTTCGATTTTAAAAGTCAGTTTCACAATCGGGTCAGTTTCAATTACCTAATCTAAAACCTCAGTTTCGTATTTCTTAACCGGAAATAAAGTATGTGAAAGTGAAAGTAGAAGTTTAAAGAGTGCTGTGTAAAACTAGCTTTGCCCACGGAAATTTTCGTATTTTTCAACAGGAAGTATAACTAACACCAGTTTAAAATATTATCAATAAGTTTAGTTGATATATTTAAATATTAATTATTTTATTTACGCATAAATTTTAAAAGTATATACTAAAATGGTTGGAATAATCCCGAGTTATAAACTTTTCCGAAAGAAACTCGAGTGTTCCGAGGAGCCATTGCACGGGATCTTAAAAAATATCTATTCAAATGACAATTTAGTTTTGTTGGCCTAAAAGATAAAGGTTCAGAAATAGTTCTTATTGGAGAATCACTGTCATTTATTAATCTGTTGCATGGCATTTTCAACCAGAATGAGACAAATGAAAGTAGTTTGCTGAGGATTTATATAATGAGGTGGTAGGTAAATCTTGTATCCCGCTCCCGCTCCCGTCCCAAAACCCCGTACCAGGCATATAGAGATATTTTAATATCTCATTAACGCGATCGTTTATATTTTTTATAAAAATATACAATAATTTCAAACATTATTTTCTAAATGTGACTGTTAATAAAATGTAAATGTATCATCTAATAATTTAGAAATTGACGATAATGTTTATTTCAAGGGGGTAAAACTTGTACGCCGCAGTCAACCGTGAAAATCACGGTTTTTCATATATAATTAGATATTTAGTGAAAATTATCATGTTATTTTCAGATATATAGAACAAAATACCTTACTGTTTATAATTATGTAAGTTTCGTTGAAATAAACGACATATTTCACATGAAATTCTGACTTTATTGTGATCGCGGGGAGTTTTTTTTACTCCCGTACCCGTGCTAAGGGGACATCACTCCGTCAAGACTCGTGCTAAATATGCATAATATGTAAAAAAGACTTTTAATACAACTATTTCATTATTTCTTTTTCATTTAATAATCTGTAATTTTTTACATGTAATGAATAAGAGAATAATCCCTTATCACAACACATCAAACGCCACAAGCTTATAAGATGTAGAAGGTAAATGATACACTATTATAATTCTTTAATCCATTGTTGATACAGCTGCAATCCTATGAGTGTTCAGCATGATTAATTATAGCCATATTAATTAGGCCATATAACAATGTTATTTTATCATACCTGGAGTATCAGATACTGAACTGCAACTCATGCAGCAATTACTTTTCAATCAATTATTATTTTTACACGTTGAGGAAATATAAGAATAGTGATGAGCTATCACAATATGACGCTATTTATTAATTACTATATTAATCAGATGGTGAGATTGACCAATGAAATTCTTCGAATTGCCCTGAGATGTGTTTGCATCAAACCAACTTTATTATATATAGGGGATGTGCTAATCTTAGGTCTCCCTCACAGGCACGTCATCAGATGAAATCAGCAAAGAATGAGAAACGTCTTAGTCATGATGAGTTATATAGTACTTTAGAGCTTATGTATCATTTAGATGGTTTTATTCACGATTTTGCTGTAGGTCCAGAGCTTAGATGTGTTTTGGGAAATAAGGAATTATTGGACGAGTTGAATTTACTACTTCAGGTTGAATCAGATGAGAGATTGTATATGTCATATGACACTACTTTTCAAGTAGGAGATTTTTATGTTTCAGCTTTAGTCTTCAGACATGTGCTATTTCAAAATAATAAAACAATTCCTGTAGCATTTTTCATTCATGATAGGAAGTCCACTCGTGTTCATGAGTTTTTTTGGCGATCTGTTAAGTCTCTAATTCCAAATTTATCAAAAGGTAATCAAATAATGGTTTTGGATAGGGAATTAGCGATAAAAAATTCGCTAGAGGAGGTTTTTCCAAATGTCAAAATACTTTTTTGTTGGAATCATATTCGTAGAGATATTAGATTTTGGTTGAACCAGCATAAGGGTAGTAGTGATATTTCAATTTACATGGAGGATGTTATACAGCTATTAAGATGCGAGAGTGAAGATGAGTTTTTGGCAATGTTAGATACGGTATCTGAGAAATGGAGTGAACCTTTTGTAGATTATTTCAATTCCCATATTAAGGGTGACATCATAAAATATGCTGGTTGGTGGCTACTGTCTGGTCTTGGTGTGGGAAAGACCGTCGCTTATTAAGTCCGCAGAAACAAGACGTATCTGGATGGATAACGGTAAAAGTATGCTAAGTTTTAAGGATAAAAATGATTTATTAATTGATAACAAACTATGTGGTAATATCATGTGTTACGTACAAAATAATTTAAAGAAACAGTTTCCTAATATAGGCGGAATGCAAGATACAGGTTATGCTCCAATTTTGAAAAACAATAAGTGGGACTATGCACTCAGAATGAAACCAACTAGCGCTGCATCAGCACAAATACATCATACAGGTGAGGACTATTGGGTAGTGTCAGTACAGGAGGTAGATAGTGGGGAAGTATACATTCTTGATAGTTTGATAGGAAATGCGAAACAGAAGGGTCATTTGTCAGCTTCTTTAGAAATGCAGTTGTCATCATCATATGGGGAAAATAGAAAAGTTTTACAAACAGTATTACCAAATGTGCAACAACAGAAAAACGGGGTTGACTGTGGGTTTTTCGCTATTGCTAACTTGGTAGAATTGTGTTTCAATGGGTTTAACGGGAGTGAAGAGTTAGAGTTTGACACCACTGGCATGAGACAACATCTTGTGGAATGTATTTCCAATGGAATCTTTACTAAATTTCCTAGGAAAAAAATAGGTAGACATAGGCAAAAGAAGACTTCTTTATCATTCGATATTTTTATGGATTGCGGAGCAGATGGGTGTCACATCTCAAATGTATTTGATGATATGGTTTCTTGTGATGCTGGCTGTGACAGATGGTTTCATAATAGATGTGTAAGTGATCTGTCAGATTTACATTTTTCTAGGGATAGTTTTATTTGGAAGTGTGTTCATAAAACAGCTATAAAAGTCAGAAGTATTTTTGGTATTTTTTAATGTATTTGTAGATGTATCCTATTAAAAGTTAAAATGTGTAGTGAGTAAACTTAAAATTCCTTTTGAAAAAGAACACAATTATTTCAATCATAAAATCATTTTTTATAAAACGTTTCATTTTTTTCTAATGATAACCAATCATGAATTCTTATTTTGTGAACTATTATTACTACTTGATAATGACATAGATTGACAGAGTGATGTCCCCTTAGCACGGGTACGGGAGTAAACAAAACACCCGCGATCCTCGCCCGCGATCACAACAAAGTCAGAATTTCATGTGAAATATGTCGTTTATTTCAACGAAACTTACATAATTATAAACAGTAAGGTATTTTGTTCTATATATCTGAAAATAACATGTTAATTTTCACTGAATATCTAATTATATATGAAAAACCGTGATTTTCACGGTTGACTGCGGCGTACAAGTTTTACCCCCTTGAAATAAACATTATCGTCAATTTCTAAATTATTAGATGATAAATTTACATTTTATTTACAGTCACATTTAGAAAATAATGTTTGAAATTATTGTATATTTTTATAAAAAATATAAACGATCGCGTTAATGAGATATTAAAATATCTCTATATGCCTGGTACGGGGATTTGGGACGGGAGCGGGATACAAGATTTACCTACCACCTATATAATGACGGTCCAGTGTAAGTGCAGCTGTAATGATGACAAACTCGGTAAGAGCGCATAATTGTTGTCATCATAATCAGGGACAGTATTCATTGTACGTCCCTGTCATAATCAGTAGCCACATACTCAAATATAAAGTGAGATTTTAAAATTCATCTTGATTTACGTTATTTTTAGTACACAACCTCGTTGAAGAATTCTAGTTTGATTTGATTTGGGGAGGGGGGAGTTGTTATTTGTTTTATATTATTAATGAGCAGGTCTTGGTTTCTTTGACATGTGTTTACCCGAGGTATGCCGTTTTTACAGCAATTTTGAGGTAAATATATACAGATAGTTGATGTTAGAAAGCTGAGTAAGTTGATTCAACATTTATCATTCACATCACTTGTCTTGTTCAGGTCCAGTACACTCTGCCGATTGAGCTATATAGCTGTAAAGACCTATAATAGCTCTATTGACCTATCTGAAATAGGTCTTTTGAGCTATTTTCAAGTGATTTTCTTTTTTAAGGAAAACGGAACAAAGTCGCATTTAAAAGAAGATTGTATCATTAGGTTGATAACAAAAGACATTAAATATAAGTATTCTTTTTAAAAAAAAATGATGTAAAGAAATCGGAAATTTTACATTTATGAAAAATGAAAATAAACATCTAACTGTATGCTTTTTGTAGTCAACATTACCATTAACCTTATTGTTTTATGCGACTTTGCTTTAATTTAATGAAATTTGAAATCTGAGAAAATATAGCTCAATACAGCTATAATTTATAGGTGTATATAGCTATATAGGTTTTTATAGCTATATAGCTCAATCGACAGAGTGTACTGGACCTGTTGTTTGTTGTAAGCAAAATTTATTGATTTCTGCTGAATATCCTGTGTTATAAATTCATGGTTTAAAGTGTGTGGTCTTGTATTTTGTGAGTTAACTGGTAAAGGACATGTACAACTGTTCATTGTTCCTCCAACCAATCAAATTAGTTAACATTAACCCTCACCCACGTGGCCTAAGTAGTTTGTTTAGATTGTGTCCCATTTTTCAAAGACTGTCCTACATGTATATGTTAATTTAGACCTGGTGGTAAAGAATCTTGCAATCTACCAGATATAATCAAATCTAATATACAGGAAGAATATTTATAATGAAATACAATTTATTATACCTAGAACATTAACTGCTTATTTTTACATTTGATCTAACTTGACCTCTCTAGTCTAGGTTAATTTTAAGTCCAAGAAAAAAATCACAATAAAATATATTTTTACATG